ACATTTTTGGGCTGGAAAAAAACCCAGGACTAGTGGGTTTCTAGAGGAGTTTTTTTATCTGTAATAATGCTCTACCGCTGTAAAACATCGCAAACTGATGTTTTTGGACATTTTTTTCGACCAAAAAAAATTATTTTTTTGTAAGAAAAAAAATGATAAAAAATGTGAACATGGAAAATGCGGGAAAATGCAGCAAAATGCTGCTAAGCACTAATGCAAAAACACAAAAAAAAAAGCTGAAAAACTCACATTTTCTACAGATAGTAAACCCTCCAGCATTTTATCTTATGTGTCCATGCACACATAGACTGTAATCAGTGGTTTTTGGCTGGGACGTTTTTTGGTTGGAAAAAAAACCCAGGACTAGTGGGCTTCTAGAGGAGTTTTTTTAGCTGTAAAAATGCTCTAACGCTGAAAAACATCATAAACCGGTGTTTTTGGACTTTTTTTCACCTTAAAAAAAAAAAAAACGCTAAAAAATGTGAACATGGAAAATGTGGGAAAATGCAGCAAAATGCTGCTAAGCACTAATACAAAAACACAAAAAAAAGCTGAAAAACTCAGGTTTTTAACGTGACTTTACACAGCTAACGTTACCAGTGTTATCAAAACACCGCGTGTGCATGGAGACTAAGGCCGTTAGTGTAGATGTCCCCTCTGAGGAATGCCAATTACCGGCTCTCCACTCCTCACGAGCTGTCAGCGTGACAGCTCGTGAGGAGAGAAATGCCGATAACCGGCATTTCCCTATTTACACGCGGCCAGCTGTGATTGGACACATCTGATCACATGACAGAGCCAAAGTCATCGGCTCTTTCCGCTGATTGGTGATCCGCTGTGTCCCAGGGACACAGCGCACCACCAATTGCTGCACTGCATGCCCCCGGGGGCACGCACACACGGTTAGAGTGGGAGGACGTCATATGATGTATTCTATATGACGTCACGTCCTCCCAGAACAAGAGAACCGCCCTGCGCCAATCATTTCCTTATATGGCGGAATGAAGGCTGTTAAACCTAATACAAGGCGTTCTGTGAATGGTTGGCATGCCAAGTGAGCAACACAGGACCGGTAGGATCACAGCCATCACCACAGTACAGCCCACCACTGCAGTGATTTTCTGGTGTGGAATATGTATACTACTTCAGTCCACCTGTAACTATGCAAAAACCAAAAAGAACATACCCGTAGCTTAGTATTAAGATATTTTGACTCTCACAATATGAGATCACTTTGAAACTGTAAGCAGCACCAGAACGGCATTTGTTGCAACACAGTTCACCACAACGCATGACACTGCGTATTGTCTGTCAGTGGAATACAGTCTTTCTGTCCTGGATATCATTGAATTGAGTATTGCTTGTTCCAGACATCAGCTAAATGCGAATCGCCTGTTCTGGATATCAGTGAAACCGCATATTTTCTGTGATGGATATCAGTAAAACGCATATTTTCTGTGATGGATGTCAGTGAAACACATATTTTCTGTGATAGATGTCAGTGAACCGCATATTTTCTGTGATGGATGTCAGTGAAACGCGTATTTTCTGTGATGTCAGTGAAACGCATATTTTCTGTGATGGATGTCAATGAGGCGCATATTTTCTGTGATGGATGTTGGTGAAATGCGTATTTTCTGTGATGGATGTCAGTAAAACGCATATTTTTCTGTGTTGGATGTCAGTGAAGCGCGTATTTTCTGTGATGGATGTCAATGAAGCACGTATTTTCTGTGATGCATGTCAGTGAAACGTGTATTTTCTGTGATGCATGTCAGTGAAATGCGTATTTTCTGTGATGGATGTCAGTGAAATGTGTATTGTCTTTTCTGGGTGTCACTGAAATGCGCATTGTCTGTCCTGTGTATTGATACAGTGCGTAATGTCTCACTTGGGTATTGGAGGAACATATATTGCAGAGTGGAGAGTCTATGGGGGCAGTGCTATAGAAGAGGTAAGTATTGCCATCAGAGCTGCATTGGGCCAGCACAGTGGCTAAATGGTTAGCATTTCCACCCAGCAGCACTAGGGTTGCTAGTTCCAATCCCAACCATGGCACCACCTGCATGGAGTTTGCATGTTCTCCCTGTGCCTGAGTGGGTTTCCTCCAGGTACTCCAGCTTCCTCCCACATTCCAAAGACATGCTGGTAGGTTAATTGGCTCCTGTTTAAATTGGCCCTAGTATGTGTATATATGAATGTAAGTTAAGGACCTTAGATTGTACACCCCTTGAGGGTTAGGGACTGATGTGAATGTACAATATATATGTAAAGGGCTGTGTAAATTGACGGCGCTATATAAGTACCTGAAATAAAATAAAATTGTAACTGGGCTACAGAAAATGGAATTGCTATTTAAGAGCTGACGAGATAAACATTGCTTATGGTGACACTTATTTTTGCTGATTTGTAAGCGCAGCATGTCATCTGCGATTTTGGTGTGCCATGGCATTTTCCCACTGACCACCATTGCAGAAAGATGCCCTTTACTTTGGCAGTCAGCTGGCCAGCAATGTATGGAGGGGGATTCTTTATACTATTGATCTATACTGACCCCCAATGTATAGAGAGAGATAGAGACAAAGGAAAGAAGATGCACCCCAAGAATGCGCTGGTTGGTGGCCTTGGGTGACATAAACACTTTTCTGTCCTATCAGCCTACACATCACAGGGAAATTTCCTGATGAATTAATCAGGGACCAGCCAGGAACTGCTTCTAACTTTTCATCAATTCTCTTTATACATGGCAGCAGTGGATTGTCTGTTTTCTGTCAGCACATGAATTGTATTCTCTGTATATATTGGAAAGTTACTAACAAACAGTGGTTAATGGTGCATGCTGGCCTCTGCAATTAAAGTGATATACTGAGTGTCAGCAGAGTCACAATCCAATATAAAATGAATAATTGATGGCAGGAATGGCGCAGCGAATTCACATAATGTATGACTTTAATTCTCCATCTTTACTGCTTTGCCATTTCATAGTTTTTTTTTTTTTGCTTCATAAACTTGGATGGAGCTATTTGTAAGGACACAGCTTATTAATATGCAAATGCTTTCAGTGTAAAAATTACATTGCATTCTTCACAATTTAATGCTTTTGCTTCTAACAACTCCCTGTGTATTCTGCTGAATCCGGTTCATTGGATGTTAGAAGCTACTTTTGTTAGAGCCTTGTGACTGCTACCTGAGCTGGGTTCTGGGCAGTTGCTTTGCTCATGTGAACCTGGGATATCAGGCTACATTCACATCTGAGTGTAGCATTTTTCAGCTTTTTTAGTGCAATTTTTCACGCATATTTTGCGTGTTTTTATACAGTGTTTTTAGCTGTTTTTGAGCTTTGGTGCTTTTTTATTAGCCAATAGAGAAGAATATAATCTTTTGCTTCATTTGTTGCTAGGTTTTTTTTTTGTTTTTTTGTTTTTAGTTTTTCCATCAGCTTTTAGTTTTTTTATTATTATTATTATTATTAACTTTTTTTATTATTTTTTTTTTTTTTGTTAGGGTAAGGGGTTAGAGTTAAGGTTATGTTAGGATTAGAGGTTAGGTTAGGATTAGGGGTTAGGGTTTGGGTTGGGGTTAGCATTTTTTATTTATTATTTATTATTATTTATTTATTTATAGTATTTTATTTATGTATTTATTTTCTTTCTATGTATTTATTTATGCTTTTGTTAGGGTGATAATAATATTAATAATAATATAATAAATTAATAAGTGTAAAATAAATACACAAATACATTAAAATAATCATACATTTATTTATTTCGGGTACTTATATAGCGCCCTCAAATTACGCAGCGCTTTACATATATATTGTACATTCACATCAGTCCCAAACCCTCAAGGGGTGTACAATCTAAGGTCCCTAACTCACATTCATATACAAGGGACAATTTACGCAGGATCCAATTAACCTACCAGCATGTCTTTGGAGTGTGGCAGGAAACCGGAGTACCCGGAGGAAACCCACACAGGCACAGTAAATAAATACTTGTAATAATAAATTAATAATAATTAACCCATAACCTTAACCCCCTAAAACCTAAAAAAGTAATCAAATAATTATTTATTTTTATTATAATTATTATTGTATTTTTTCAGGTGTTTATTATTATTATTTATTATTATTATTATTAATAATAATAATAAGAATAAGAAGAATTTCTCTTTTTTTTCAAGGTTAGGGGTTATTATCTATGATTTATTTATCATGTTTTTTTTATTTATATGTGTATTTATTTGATTTATTTTACATTTATTTATTCATATATTATTACTTTTTTTTTTCATTTGAGCAGAAAATTGCGCATGGTATTAAAAACGCACCAAAAAGTGCAAATCTGCCCAATTTGAGCTACAAAAGTAGCGCCAAAACTTTTTTGATCTTCAGGCAACTTGGAGTGGAGATGTGAACCATCTCCATAGAGTAATATTGATTTTTTTCTTCCCCCTGAGCATTTTGGAGCTTCACGCTTCAAAACACTCAGGTGTAAATGGGGCCTAAATCACTGAGCTCTTCCTTAAATGTGCACCTCTCCTGCTTAGGTGTAAATATGTGAGCTGCCCATCCTACATGCACTTCTTGTACTGGGTATAAATCAGTGAGCTGCCCTTAACACATCCCCTATCATGGCTCCTTACTGTCAGTATACAATACCAGAGCGGGACGGATTCCACCATCCCAAACGAATGTGCGGACGTGAGATTCGAGGCATTTACTTTCGTTTGTTCCACTAATTGAACAAAAAATTGCATAATGTATGGGCTGCCAAAGTTATGGCTCTTGTGCTGATTTTCTGTTTTTTTTTTTTTTTTATTGTGGCTGCACATAGGCTATAATGTCAAGTGTGAATTTTATTGGTTGCAGTGAACCTATGGCAGCACGCTCCCCCAGTTGCGATACTTATCCTCCCTTCTATCCCTTGATGATCCATTCTCTTATGTGAGCAGTGAGGAATACACAGTATTTCTTGGTACAGGGAACATGTGACTCATACCCAGGGGCGGACTGACAACTCATGGGGCCCCCGGGCAATAGGGGTTCATGGGGCCCCTGTGTCCTTGCCCAAACTCAAAAAAAGCCTATGAAAATGGTACCAGGGGCATCTCATGGGGCCCCCTACTGACCCCGGGCCCTCGGGCAGTGCCCTAGTTTCCAAATGGTCAGTCCGCCCCTGTTCACATCCATGGCTTTTTTTTTGTTCTGGTAGTGGGAGTGATTGGAAAGTAAGGGAGGTGAGGCCTGTTAGGTGAACACATTACTTTGCCCTGCGTGAACAAAGTACAGGTTCATCTTAAGTAAGTGTTAATAGTATACAATAAATATATATATATATATATATATATATATATATATATATATATAAATGTCATCAGTCCACAATGAATGATGAATGTGTGCTGTTATTGATGAGCTGCTAATAGCCAAAGCTGCTGCCTATTCATTGAGTAAACAGGGAGAGCGTTCCATGTTTCTCCTTAATGTACATGACAAGTCAAAAGTCAATAGCAGCAATCCTCTAGAAAGGTGAATATTCTTGAATTATCGCTTTATGTTCACTTAGTCCAACCTACTCTGTCAAAACATACAAGACAGCAGTCTTTTTATTGAGTGCATTCAGGACAGATGTTAAAGGAGATTTCAAAGAAAACTGAACATTTCTGGCTTGCTGTGCTATAGTAGGGATCTCCTATCTGCTGCTCCCTATGTATTCTTTGTTGAAGGCACAATTATTTTTTACACTACCACCTGTTGAAATCCAGTCCTGCAGTGAAAACATTAAGACATTAGCCTTTGCTAAGGCTATAGCGGATACCCCAACCGGTAAGAGCCTGGGCCCTGGCGGATTTACGTAAAATTTTACAAACTCCCCCTACTCCTTTTCTGACAAAAATATTTAATTCTTTAGCAGTAGGCTCACTTTTCCCTCAGCAAGCTCTTGAGGCACATATCTCTTTCATCCCACAACCTGGCAAAGACCTTTCCATCTGCGCAAATTACAGACCCATATCACTTATTGGAGTGGACATAAAAATTTTTACCAAAGTATTAGCTAGTAGACTACAATCATTACTACCCCAATTAATCTAATCCACTTGGATCAGGTTGGTTTTGTAAGTGGGCGTGAGGCTAGGGACAATACACTGAAAACCCTCCTACTGACGGACTACGCCCGTACTCAGGAAATCCCCTATTCCTTCTGGCAGTCGATGCTGAAAAGACATTTTGATCGTGTTAGCTGGAGGTTCCTAAGTCTCTCCCTTCAGCAGATAGGACTTGGCCCACATATGATATCATGGAATATGTCCCTTTATTCCTGTTGGCCAGGATCAGGGTAAATGGTTCCCTTTCTCCAGCATTCTCCATCCATAATGGAACTGGCCAGGGATGCCCTTTATCCCCCCTCGTTTATGTTCTCACGATGGAACACTTAGCCTTACGAAAGAACCCTAACATCACAGATGTCTCAGTAGGCCCCCTTCCCACCAAACTCACTCTATTGCAGATGACTTGCTCCTATATGTGAACCACATACCTCCTTACTTCAGGAATTCCAGAGATTCGGTAGTTAGTAATGTTAAGGTAAACTATAGCAAATTGTAACTTCTCAATATCTCCTTATCACAGACTGCTTTGAAACAGCTTTTGAATCATTTCATATTTAAGACCTGCTCATCCTCTATACGCTACCTAGGAATACAGATACCGACTGAGGCATCTCATCTATAAATTTTCTCTCAACTTTATACTCCTACTTCACAAAACTTAATCAGACTTGGCCTCTTATACCTCCAAGAGACTTTCATGGCTTGGTAGGATTCATGCTTTAAAAATGGATGTCCTCCCACAGTTTTTATACTTGTTCCAAACGATTCCTACATGCATCCCAGCCTCTTACTTCACCAGGCATTCTCTAAATTTATTTGGAAGTCACCCTGGCCAGAATCCGTTATGGCACATTGTCTCTCCCATGACACAGAGAGGGGCCAGGAGTCCCAGATACATCCATCTACCACAGAGCAGCAGTGCTTACATTCTCATTCATAACTCCACTTCCAAGCTCTGGGTTCAAATAAAGGGACATATAAACCCTGCAGACCTACGTACCCTCCCATGGACCCCACCTATGCTTTGCAGGGGCTCTATCACTCCTAGTGCTTTCACTCTCAAAATGCTTCACATGTGGGGCCACATACCATCCACTCTCATTCTATCCAAACTCCTGGGTCCTATGACCCCATTTTTTGGAATGCCTTTCCACCAGCTTTATACTCTATCATATTAGCTTCCTGCTACCCAGACCCTTCCCCATACACACATGTATGGGTAAAAGATCTCCAATAATCCTTCCCTCCCTCAGACTGGTAAAAATGTTTTATCTTAACCCACAAACTTTCACTGACTACTTAAACCCAAGAAAAGGTGTTCAAATTGATCAGCAGAAGGTATACAGTAAGTACCCAGCAATCCTCCACCTCTACAATCCCTCCACACCTGACACATGCTGGTACTGTCATTCCTCATCATCTGCCATGCTTCATGTCTGGTGAGATTGTCCTCCTATACAAACTTTCTGGAAGCACATCTTTAATCTGTATTGTAAACTAATGGCGACGTCCATTCCAGCTTCTCATAAGATAGTCCTCCTATACATGATCCCGGGTCCCCATAAATCTGTAATAAGAGATATTCTTCGTCATTTCTTAGCTACAGCCAGAGCATTCATCCATCGGCATGGGAAGTTCGCCTCCATACCGTCCCTAGGGGAGAATGGACCAATGAGTTGGAATCCATCCAAGACCTAGAATGACTGTTGGTGCAGGAAGTAGGAAAAGAAGGCCAGTTCTCCTCCACCTGGACTGCATGGTCTATGTTTCGATACTCATCTGAATTTCTGATCTGGGCTAAAAATGAATCTGTTCCTTCTTCTGTGCTGCCTGATGAAGCAACTCCTCTCCATTTCCAATACCGCCCTGATCCCTTCTCCTCACATGCCTTTATGAGTTTTTCTTCTTTCCTAGTTATCAAGTTCCCTGCTGCTCTATACCCTATGTTCTGTGGACAAGCTATGGAATTTCATTACACAGATGTGTTCTCTATTTATTTATTTTTTTTCATGGCAGTTTGATGTAAACTCAACTAAGTTTTGCATTCTTATATCCTATTTTGTTTTTGTATGTTCTTCTGAACCTACACTACATTGTGGACGCTTCTGTACAATATGGCAGAGTTTTGCTGTAGAATATATACTCTACTTCTGTTCTTTGTATAATCTGATTTTCAGTAAACAAAGACTGAACTAAAAATATTGGTCCTAATTCAACAAGTTTTAATGATACTTAAAGCTGAACTCCAGGCAAACAGCTAAATATATAGCTAGAATACATATTTAGAAGCTGTTTTACCTGAAAAAGGATTCAAAAATTCTCTCAAACTTACATGCAATTTATATGTGTTGTATTGAACTGTATCAGGTTAATGAGGCTCATTAGTATGTTGACATCTAGTGAAGATTTTTGGCCACCATAACTTTTGATTTTGGTTTCTCCCTGTGTCCTCCTCTTCCTCCTGTTTAGTTCTAGTTAGTTCAATCCTAGGTAGACCCTCCCAATTTCTTCCATGTTCCCTTAGTCAGTGTTAGTACGTCACAAAGACATGACTTAGAAAAGTCCTCCTCTTCTTCTGTTTAGTGCTAGTGCTAGTTAGTTCAATCCTAGGTAGACCCTCCCCATTTCTTCCATGTTCTCTTAGTCAGTGTTAGTACGCCACAAAGACGTGACTTAGGAAAGTCATGATGTTCTTACAGAAAGGAAAGAACAGAATAGGATAGGACTTTTAAGGTACTCAACACAATTATAATATTTAAAAATCATATATTATTATATCAGCCACTTTCCTCATTAATAAATTATCTTCCTATGCTTCAAAGGACTTGAAAAACATCCTCAGTACTACAATTAACTGAGGTCAAATTGTGTTGGCTCTGCTTCTGTGTTTTACAGAAGAGTTAAGCTGTCTGTGGATGTTTCCAAGTCAGCAATACAGACTGGGTCTATGGAGGCATGTCAATGCATAAAGAGACATTTGAAACAGAACATTGGGCATCCTTCTATCTCATCTCTAGCTGAACTCTGAACTCGTGCTCTCTTCTTAGGCAATGCATGAAGGCTGAAACTGAATTTTGTATTTGTCTATCCAGTTTTTAGATTTACACAGCTCTGCCACACAGCATAGCCCTGTCTGGTAGGGAAGCAGACCTGATTTTTCTTTGTAGTTTAGTAACACTTACAGGTCTGGTACCTTCCTACCCCACCCCAGTCTGTGACTGGACAGTGAAAGGAGAAGCAGCAGAGTGATGAGTCCTCTCTTTGTCACTCTGCTCTCTCCTCCTTGCTAGTACGTGAGCACTGCAACACAACTGATTGGCTCTTTGTGCTGCTTGTCCCTCTCCTAGTCTGTTCTGCTGTATAAGGGATCTGATGCCAGGTTGAATGCAGGTTCTTACATAGCTGTCATTAAAATGACCCTTTTTGTTCTATTAAAGTGGATTTTCACTCTCTCAATCAACATTGACTATTTTGAAACCTTATGCTGCTAGCATTAGTAAAAAGATAGGAAAATATATCATATTGACTTGTTTTAAACTGTTCTTTACATTTCTTCAGTTACTTTCTAGTTTGCATGCCTAGTCAAATGATGTCATACATCCAGGAGTCTTCAGGAGGGGAGGAGGGGGTCTTCTCAGCTAAGCATATCCTCCTGCCTGCATGCCTGAGCTAAGGGCTATGAATCATCTGCCCTTACTCAAGATGGCCACAGCCAGAAATGCTAGGTTGTTGTTTTTCAAAGAAATTTCTCAGAAAAAAAGCATGGAGACATGGATGGATGGGTGAGTTTGCTTTGAATAGTTAAAATAAAGTAAATGCTACATGAAACATCTGAACTTGCTCAAGTTGGCCACAGCCAGAAATGCTAGGGAGCAGAGGCAGACTGACCATTCAGGGCACTGCCCGAGGGCCCGGGGTCAGTAGGGGGCCCGGTGAGAGGCTCACTGGGCACAATTCACTAAATGGTATCTTACCGCATCCGGGTATGAGGTAGGATACCACATAGCATTTTTTTTTTTTTAAAGTTTGAATTCAGCAAAAAACCCTACTAAAATACCGCATAAATTATTTTATCAAGTCATG